TTAAAAAATTTTGTAGTGCTAGTTTTTGCTTACGAAACGAAATATTATTAGTATTAATGATAGTTATATTGAATTCAGAAAATCAAAGTATTATATTATTTGATTTTAGATAAAAAACATTTATTCTTGTTCCAGAATATTATGCATGAGTACTACTTGTTCATGTGATTGATGTTTTAAAAGTTTTCAAACAAATCTTCGAACTTCTTTATTAAATTCTCCTTTCATTATATTTCAATTCAATGCTACTAAATATCTTGCTTAATTTTTAAAATATTTGCTGCATAAAAAAACATATCATAAATTTATTCTGAAGATGAAAATCAAAAACACTAATCTCTTCTATATTTTACTGATAACTTGGTTTTGTTTGATAGTTGACAGTGTTGTTTGAACAATTTCATCCATTCAAATGAGCATGATAATCTTGAATTTCCATCACCAGAAGATGCCATTGAATGCGCTAAAATAAAGCATAAAAATAGAGACTGCATTATTTTCAGCTAATCAGTCAGTAAAATCCTCGTTCAAACGCACAAGCTGAAACACATTCATGACATCTTGCTCACTCGTCTCATGCATTCAACAGCACAACATTCACTTTTAATATATTTAAAAATCTCTATCACTGTTAATTACTAAACTATACTTTTTTCCCACGATTATTTGGTCAATATTGTTTATGAGAAATAAAAAGGAGTTCAATGCAGCCAATTAAGATCAAAAATCGTGAATAAACTGACACAAACATGAAAATAGCAAGCCTTGAAATTAATTGAATCTGAAAATATTATATTCTTAAAACACCAAATGAATGTCTGGTAACAGCCGACTCACTCACTGATACATTACCGCCAGTGCCTCCTCCTCCACTATAATCGGTGAAACTTGTAGAAGTCATTCCCTGTTCCAGATATGACGATGGTATCTCTTCCGTACCCACTGAACTCGCTGAACGTTGACAGATTACATCTGTCACTACTGAAAATTGAATAAGTTTATAAGCAACGACAAATACGGAAATCCATCTTTTCTTAAAGCCAAACATTCTAATTCATTACATGAAAAGTGTACCACAGTGTTGTTGCATGTCATCCCAACATGTCATCTCATTTCGCAAGTTACTAATTATTATGACAATTTTTATTGAAAAACAAGCGTTTGTTTCTGCCAATCTAACTTTCCTACCAAATAAGAGTGGCAGAACTGAAAAAACAATCACATCTTCAGAAGTGAAAAAACTACGCTTTTGCTAGAATTATATGAATAGCAACATATGAATTATCTTTCAGAAAACTTAGAACCACAAAATTATTCATAATAAATTGGCCTCATGAAAAAATGAAAACCAAAAACCAATAACACACACTGCAAAACCAACCAATCATAATAGTGAAAATATGAACTGAAAATCAAAAAAATGAAGAGTAACTGAGATAAAATTACATGTTACTGCGTCCCATGTAACAAAGATATCATCGAATAGTGCCAGTTTTGCAATCGGATAAAAAATCACAGAAAAAGAGGAAAGTAAAGTGATCACAAATAATAACTATTATCATTATAAAATCGAAGACTAATATACTAATCAAAATTATCTACAGATGGGTGCATTATGTAAATCTACATCAGAACTAGTCAATTTCATACTGTCACTATCATAACTTCTGATGATAACGTGCTTCAAAACAAGTGAATCTGCACATCCTATCACAAACACAGTAGTAAGAAAAAACAGACTAATAATTTACGGATGACAATCAAATGACAAACTTTTGTACGAGAACCGAATAACATACATACAATGAGTAATTAAG